TTACTGTCTATCGTGGTCAGGGATTGCCCAAAGCAGCCTTTGAAAAACTGATGAACGCAAGAGAAGGGTTATTGTCTTTCAACAACTTCTTGTCTACCAGTAGAAATCCAAAGGTCGCTATTGGTTTTGCTCACCAGGCTCTATCGAACCCTGACTTGGTGGGTATTTTATTCGCTATGTTCATCGATCCAACAGTCTCCACGACTCCTTTTGTCCTGCTGAACAATATCAGCTACTTCACGTCGGAAGAGGAGATACTTTTCTCCATGCACACCATCTTTCGTATCGGCCAGATCAAACAAATTGATGGGAATAACAGACTGTGGAATGTGAAACTTACCCTGACAGCTGACAATGACTCGCAACTAAGTGATTTAACTACATGCTTGCGAAGGGAAACTTCAGGATTAGCAGGATGGGATCGGTTAGGCCGATTGCTTTTGCAGCTAGGAGAGTTTGACAAGTTCGAACAAATATACCGAAGCCTACTTAATCAGACATCCAATGATGGTGAAAGAGCAGTTTGCTATCAGCATCTTGGACGTGTCAAAAATAACACTGGTGAATACCAGGATGCGATTACCTTTTTTGAAAAAGCACTTGAAATCAATCAAAAAGTTCTACCTTCGATTCATCCGCAATTGGCGGAGAATTACACTGACATCGCCGATGTGTATAACTGTATGGGCGAATATTCGAAAGCACTTCCATTTTGCGAAAAAGCTCTTGAAATCAACGAAAAAGTTCTACCTGTTAGTCATCCACAATTGGCTCAAGACTACGACAACGTCGCTAAGGTGTACATTAGCTTGGGCAAATATTCACAAGCAATCTTGTTTTGTGAAAAAGCACTTGAAACACATCAAAAATCCCTTCCCCCAATCCATTCTCAATTGGCTGAAGACTATGCCAATATTGCTGATGTGTATAACAGTATGGGTCAGTACTCAAAAGCGATTTTGTTTTTCGAAAAAGCACTCTCAATACACCAAAAGCTTTTGTCTCCAAACGATCCTCAATTGGCTTTAGACTACGACTTAATCGGTATGATATCTACTAATATGAACAATTATCCGAAAGCGCTTTCATGTCACCAAAAAGCACTCGAAATCTACCAAGAAACTCATCCACCAACTCATTCTTTATTGACTACTACCTACAAGGCTATTGGCGGCGTCTATCATAAGATGGGTCAGTACTTGAAAGCGTTTTCATTTTTCGAAAAGGTTCTGGATATCAACAAAATAACTCTAGCTCTAAACCATCCCAACTTGGCTGTAGATTACAGTAACATCGGTGCAGTGTACGACAGTACAGGCGAATACTCAAAGGCATTAACGTCTTACGAAAAAGCACTTGAAATTCGTCAAAAAACTCTTCCTCCGGATCATGAAGATATGGTTGACTCCTATAACAGCATTGGTTCAGTGTATAATACTATAGGCGAATATTCAAAAGCACTTTCGTTTCACGAAAAAGCACTTGAAATCCAACGAAAAACTCTTCCTCCGAACCATCTGGATTTGGCTGGTACCTACGTTGCAATTAGTGCAGTATATGACAACATGGGTGACTATTCAAAAGCTCTGTCATTTCTTGAAAGAGCACTTGAAATCCGGCAAAAAACTCTTCCTCCAAACCATCTCACTTTTACTTCTACCTATGGCACGTTTGGTTGGGTATATAAAAATATGGGCGAGTACTTAAAAGCACTTTTGTTTTATGAAAAAGAACTTATAATCGAAGAAAAAGCTTACCCTCCGATTCATCCTGATTTGGGTAACACCTACAATAACATCGGTGAAGTATATTGCAAGATGGGAGACTACTCGAAGGCACTTTGGTTCCTCGAAAAGGCAGTTACAATCGACAAACAAACTCTTCCTCCCAAGCATCGAAATTTGGCCGAATCCTACAACAACATGGGTAAGGTGTATGAAAGCACGTCAGAGTACTCCAAAGCAATTTCGTTCTACCAGCGCGCCGTTGAAATTGGTCAACACTCACTACCTTCAAACCACTCTTACCTTCAAAGTTGGCGAAGAGATCTCGAATCACTTAAAAAGAAATTGTAATTAACTTGCTTGTCACAATGATAAATGAAAAAGTTATTTTTAGCATGCCGCTAACAAATAAAATCTTCGCGACTGTGCACGCGTAAAGAAAAACGTGATTGACATGTTTCTTTTATGAAACAAGACTGTTAATAAGTGTTAGAGTATAAAGGGTGTCCCGGAAGTTCTGAAACGATTTTAAAATTCACCGTTCTTGTTTTCTACAAAAGCAAATTTGTTCAAACTTTGGTAGATTGTTGTACATATATAGTACTACTTAATTACAAAGTTTGAGATCTGTAGGTTGTACTATGGATGAGATACCATAACAACACTAACATGTACTATTTTTTAAATTTTCCTGGTCATCTTCGAGGTATGCAACATTTTCTTATTTCGTCTATATCTTGGCTTAGATAAATGATAAAATCATGAATTTTTCTTTAAGAGATGCACCGTGAAAAGCTCTACAAAAAGTACAATAACAAATCTCTATTGACTTGTGTTAATGGTTTCTGCCAGACTCAAAATGAAAAACCTACACGGTAGTACTACTTCTCACCATATTGTGAGTAATAAAAAAGGTTTCGAAGACTATTTTGCTTCCCAATAGGAATTTGTTTATACAGCTTTTGAAGAGCTTTCGACGGTGCATTTTTTGAAAAAGAAATCAAGATTTTATCATTTTCTCAAGCTGAGATACATGCAAAACAAAAAGGTCTTCCAAACATTTTTTTACTATGCACAATATGGTGAGAAGTAGTACTATCATGCAGGTTTTTCATTTTGTGTATGGCAGAAACCATTAACACAAGTCAATAGGGATTTGTTAGTACAATTTTTGTAGAGCTTTTCACGGTGCATCTTTTGAAAAAAAATTCAAGATTTTATCATCTACCGAAGCCGAAACATAGATATTTTGGCAGACCCGGAATACAGGAAAATTTTAGAAATAGTACATCATAGTGTTGTTACAAGTTCTCCTCTACAGTAGAACCTATAGATCTCAAACTTTGTAGTTATGTGGCATTACATATGTGCAATAATATGTCAAAGTTTCAAAGAGTTTGCATTTGTTGAACGCGAGAACGATGAATTTTAAAATCGTTTCAGAACTTCCGGGACACCCCTTATAGTAAGAAATACGAACCACATTCTAGGCTGCTCCGCATTTCGATTTTTTTCAAATTTGTTAGCCGTGGAGATCTGAATTCTGAATAGATTTTCCGGTTTCAAGTGGATTTGAACTCTCAAGATCCCAAAAATCTTTTTTTATTCCTTACAATAAACTGCTTTGACTCCGTTAGAGACTATCAAAATGTGATCGAGTAGCCTACTCTATCTTGATTTTTTCATGTAACTGTTTGTTATTGCCATGGGTGTGGGTGGTGCGTGTGGTGTGTGTGTGTGGGTGCGGGATGAATTAAGAGAGGTTCCGAGAAAAAAAACCGAACATTTTTCTGAACATCGGCCGCGGCTAAATTTTTATTTTCAATTTTAAGTATCTAGTTTGAAAGAGCATTCATTTTTACCAGCAAATCTAAATTTTTTCGGTTTGAAACCCTACCTAAAAAATTTTAGCCTATACCAACTTTGGGTGGGTGTGGAGTGGGTCTGGGTGTGGCTTAGAATTGAAATACACCAATCCACACCACACCCACACACCCACACCCACACTCACATCCACCCACGCCCACCCACACCCACCCCACACCCACACCCACCCCACACCCCACCCACACCCACCCCACACCCACACCCTCCATTACCGTAAAGTTTTAATTTTATCAGAGTCTATATGAATCAGAGGTGCAGAACCTTCCTCGTGCGCCCCCGCGCGGGAGGGGAATTTTTTGAAAAACTCAAACAATAGGGAAATTTTGGAAAAACCTGCTGCCCAAAAAAAATACAGTGGGGAAATTTTCCAAAAAACATTTTTGCGTGGGGGGAGATTTTTGGATTTTTGGAAGATTCTGCACCTCTGATATGAATTGAAGAAAGACATGCATGAAATGAGAAAAGAGTAAATAGTACCGTATTATTGCTAAATGCTAGTGCAAGTTGTAATGTCCCATCACGACCGATTTCATTTTTTGAAAGGTCGAGTTGAGTAAGCGTCTATAGAAAATGAAGAACACAAATGAGAAACAATTCAAGAGACAGAAACAATGCCTTGTTAGTTTGCAAAGCATTTGCTATATGTCGGGTTCCGTCATCGAGTATGTTATTTTTCGAAATATTTAATATGGTAAGTGCCTAAAAAAAGTACGTCGAAAACGTCATGTATAAAATTAATGAAGGATAATAATAATATAACTGTTCTGCCTTGAATAAGATTAGCTAGTTGGTATGCACCTTCAATTCCAATATTATTCTCAGATAGATTCAATATCTGAAGTGTCTGTATGAATGAAATAAGTGACATAGGAGACAACTAAATCGAATAGAAGTGGCACTTCGTTGTCTTGAAACGCCTGAAGGGCGTGGGGTGTGGGGTGTGGGTGTGAGTGTGTGATGAGAAGATATCAAAACTCACACCCACACCACCCACACCCACACGCCCACACCCTTGATGAATCATATCTTCCAATTGATTTTCGAGGCAAAGTCCATTAATTGAAGGAAATTTATTTTAATTTTTATTAAACATCAATACAAACAACAAAATGTGCGATTACAACATATAATTGTTAGTCATATGCAATAAGTTAATGCAGAAAATTCGTTTCCATAAAGATACAAGAACTTTCTTTAGTTTACTTCGAAACGTTTTTGAAACGATGAAATTTGCATAACAAGTAATACAGAATGAAATACCAACACCATACAGTCATATACTTTTAATACTATTTTTAATCTGTACTTGATCAACACTTTTTATTTAATATTGTGTTATTTGTTGATACATGAGAAAGTTTACAAATAAAAAATTGAATATGATGTCGGTTAAATATCTACCAGTAACATTAAAACCATTTGTCGATCTTTTGAAGCTGCAGAATTTTCAGTACTTGCTCCATCAGTTTTAGTTACTGACACATCAACAGCAACTCCAACGCGACGTGTGGTACTTCGGATATTCTTTTTTGCCCATAATCCGCATATTACCATTAATAAAAGTGACGAAGGTTCTTTGATAAGAGCATAGGAACATACAAAAGCAACATGAAAACCTGGTTGATAATAACAAAGATAAGTATTAGGACTAATTTGTTGAGGAGTCGAACAAATTAACGCATGAATATGAAATAATGACCAAAATAATGTTCCACCAATAATACATGTATAAACCAAACGTTGAGTACTTCGTTGGCGAGTACGAGCATTGCGTGAAGTGACCAAAATTTGATCGATTGAAGCCAAAATTAAATAAAATGCACTTAAACAATTGAATAAAACGATTGCATCAAGACGTGAACGACATAGAATTAGATTGAATCTTGAGGGATCAATGTCATATCCAGAGTCTATTATTAAAGGTATTAATGATGCACAAATATACGCAAAATTAGCAATATTAAATGCAATAAAATAGATTGAACATAGATTTTTTCGTAAAGTTTTTTTGAACTAAATACAATTAAGTTTAATGTACAATCTATGACGCCTATGAGGAGTAAAACTGGACCAAAAAATTGATATAAACATTTGTTTGCTGATTTCAATAGAGCATTTACATTGGCTAATGAAGACATGGTAATATCGAGTATTTGTACAGATTGGCAAAGAAAATGCTTTTCCACAAAATCTGTTGTTAAATAAATGCCACGATATTTGTTCTCGAAGTAAAAAGTGAAAAATGAAAAGAAAGATTCGAGTTTTTTGACAAGAAACGTGTCAGAACATGATAAGCTTCCATTGACTTTATAAAATGTTGTTTCGTCGAACTTGTTTTATCAACAGAATTATTGAGACAAAAATCGGTCTTTTTACTGATTATAATAGAATGTATACATGAGATTTAATAAATGAATCGTGATATCATTCATCTTGTATTTTTAAAACTCCAGTCGTGCAAAAAAAAACCTAAATATGACTTTCAATAAATAAATAACAAAATAGAGCACTTTCTAAAAATAAATAAACACTTCGTCTATGAAGAGGAGTTTTAATAAACTACGTAGAATTATATTACAGAAAAGATATTGCAAACATAAATAAATTCGCCGATCTTGACTAAAATTGAAGAAAGAATCTGACATTTTGTTATTTTATATGTTTTAATTTATTTGCCAACAACATATAACCGCTTTTTTCCTTTTGTATACTCTAAAGCTTCAAAAAAATATATTAACCATAATATGCACTCGTGTATACAACTGCGACATATGTCAGAAAAACTTTTCAGAATATAATCTTCAAAGAAACGATTATAATCAATCTCTAAGGTGTAATATGAAAATACGAAATTGATAAAAGAAATCCGGACACAGAATACATATTCTACTTATTATCAAGTACTATAGTTTACACATCCAAATATATACTAAAATTCATTACTATAACAAAAATACTTGATTCGTAAAGGTTTGTTTATTTATGATGAAGAGTAACAGAAGGTTGACAACACAATACTGAATCTGTAGATTATAAGTGTTACAATAAATAATACTATATATAATATAAAGTGATCATTTCTATGAAAAAATATTTTTCAATTCAGTTCGACCTGTTTTTAAAACGATTGAATGTCTATAACAATTGATACAACAACAACAACAAAATTGAATTATAGTGATCTGTGAACATCTTTGAAGAAAATAATAAATTAGATAAAAATATTATTTTCAATTTGAATCAATATGTTGAATATCAATAAGAAATATATTTTTAATATAATTCAAAATAGCTACAATATATATGATTACAACATAAAAAAGTCAGCACAACATGAATAATTCAAGTTCAGTGGATGCATAAAATCCGTTTCCATGAAAGTATTTTCTTAACTTCATGTCGAAATTTTTTCGACGCAATTAAATTTGTATAAAAACTCGTAGAGACTGGAATACTAGCACCCAATTGAGTTAGATTTCTCACAGTGCTTTCAATTTGTATTTGTATAGGACTTTTCACATAATATTGTGTTATTTGTTGATACAGAAGAAAGATCGCATATGTCGAAAAGAATAAACCGTAGATCATAATATCCATTAGTAACATGAAAGCAAGTTGTCTTTCTTTTGAAGCAGTAGAGTGTGTAGTATTTGATACAACAGATATACTTGGAGGTGCACCAGTAGTACCTCCAATACGACGTGCACTACGCTGAATATTCTTTATTGACCATAATCCGCATACTGTAAGTAATACAAGTACCAAAAGTTCTTTGATAAGTAAATAGTAACTAAGGAAAGTACGATAAACACCTTGGTCAAAATAACAAAGAAAAAAATTAGGAAGAGTTTGTATAATATTTGTTAAAAATAATTCATGAGAATGAAACAATGCCCAAAATATGGTTCCACAAACAACACATGTATAAGCCATACGAAGAGTACTTCTTTGTCGTGTACGAGCGTTTGATGAAGTAATCAGAGCTCGATCAATAGAAGCCAATACTAAATAAAATGAACATAAACAATTGAATAAAACGGTTGTATAAAGACGTAGACGACAAAGAACCAGATATTGAATACTCGCATCAATATGATAGCCAACGTTCAATGTTGCATAAAAGGGTGCAGCATAAATATATATAAAATTAGCAATATTGTATGCAATAAAATAGACTGAACACGAATTTTTTCGTAGAATCTTTTGAGTAAATACCATTAGATTTACTATGCAACCTATACTACCTAAAAGCATCACAATTGGACAAACAAATCTAAACAAATAATATTGTGCTGAACTTAATGCAGCAAGTATATCCGTTGGCGAAGACATGGATAATCATATAAATGAATAGATGAGCAAAGATGTAACTTTGACAGTATCTTTTAATCAAAAAATGTCACAACCATTATTCCATATTATAAAAATTTAAAAGAATGATTATTAAGGTAAGCATTTTTTTTTTAAAGTCATTGGTTAAAATATAACTTTTGCTTAACGAACTGTTTTTTGTCATATAAAAAATCATCAACACGAAAAATCTAATGAGTGAAGAGATGAATTTATACGATATAATGTCAAGAATGATTTAAATTTCACAATCCATATGTTATTAAATACATCCTCGTACCAATTTTTATTTTATTCAAGTATGTGTGCTCTGATTTTATATCATTCTCTATTTGATTACCATATTGTCTGAACAATAAACAATATCTTGTAGATTTTTGTTGAAAACATATGATTTATTTTCTCAATAAGCTCATTCATTTTCTTCTTCATATAATTTTATAAAACAGTTTCTGTTAGTGACAACATAAAATACTGTCTGTCGCTGACAATAATAACTAAAAATGTATTTGACATTAAGAAATGGAATTGTGTAAATGACAACACAAATGAAACGAAGTAGAGTAAAAAGTATGTTTATTTTCTCTTTTATGATGGTCCTTAAAGGATGAGTGATGGTAAGGCCACTTTTTGGCCCAAAATATTTTCAAGAAATAACTACATGATGGTAACTAGATTCATATGGACTACAAATATCACACGGTCATTTTGTTTAAAATAACTTCCGGATTTTCAACCCCCGTACCCCCTAGAGGAATTCGAAAAAAATTTCTTTCAAAATTTACCTTTTTAAAGCTGTTACGGATATCAAGTCAATCTTGCTGATCACGAATATCGCTATCTCAAAATTCGAAAATGTAATCCTGAAAAATAAGACCATTTTTCCTATGTCTGAATTTTGGGATGGGTGTGGGTCTGTTGGTTCTGTTGAGGAGAAGATCCATACCCACACCATATTCTGGGATGGAAAACTCGAATCCGTACTCCACTTGTCTCCAAATCTTATCAGTTGACCAGGAACCAATGTAAATCAAGCTATAGAAAAAATCGTCTTTTTTAGAGCAAATTATGACGAAGAGGTCAAATCTGAGCTGTGTTCACTTTCAAATCTTATTGATCAAACAGTAGCCAATAGAAATCAAGTGTTTATAGAAAAGGTTTACCAGACTAATTTTTATATCCAGACATTCTAGGATGACTGATTTGTCTCATTCACTTTTTGAAGTACACATAACTCTCTGATTTAAATTCGAGGTTTCCACATTTATTTGATGTTTTAAATAAATATACAATACAGAATATGAAAATCTACATTTGATGAAATTTTTTTGAATAATGTTATCGATGCAGCATTTTCTTATGGTTAATGCAAATTTATTGTAAATCCTCTAGAATGATAGCCGAGATGTTGCTCTTCAAAACTATGTACTGTGAATATCTGTTTACCCGCTAACATAGCAAAAAATACACAAAAATAAAAGTGGAGTCGAAACTTATGAAACACCCTTTATATCTATAATTCTAGGAGAGGGAATGTCTGCGGTAGGGAGTATGCTTGTAACGTTCTCTTTCTCCGTTGCTAGTCGTTTGTAATTGGGAGGGGAGAGGTAGCCGAATTGAAAACTTCAACTCACTATTTCTTCGAAAATATATGTGATTCGCACAAAACAGTACTCAAAACTTTTGATTATTTTATAGATACGTACTGAAAATATAATTTTATTGCGAAAAAAGTGTGAACAACTTACTCGAGGTATCCTCATTTGATGTTTGGTCATTCTTTTCATCAATTTCAACTAAGTGTACGACATGTGAACCATTTGGATGGTTTAATGTGTTATATTTTACATGAAATTCAGTACCTATTCGTAAAATAATTTCGTCTTCATTTTCATACGCAGTATAACCAGCAACATTTTTTCCATTAATTGCTTCAATGAGAAAAAGAGTTGAACTTTTTTCTTTTTCAAGGAAACTTTCAATAACGCTGACTGATGACGAACACGAACTAATACTGCACCATGTCACAGTTTGATTTTTGCTGAGGCTCTTACCAATATCAAGTGGTACATCTCTCCATACAACCTGTTTCACAGTTGGTAACTTATCCGAAGCCGTATCAAATAATTTTAAATATGGAAACCATATCTTTAGTGCTTTTCGATTTTCCGATCGTAATGCTTTATTTAATTCACGATAGAGAGAAGTGTCACCGCATTCCATTGTGTAAATGTAAACAGCAGCTGATTGGTCATGTGTTAGTTCATGTTCTAATGGGAAATGACAGTTTCATTTTGCTGTCTTTATGTGATGAGATAGTGCGTTGATTTGAGACCGAATAGGCTCAAGCACCTTTTCAAGTATTACATCTTCTGTACTGCGATAACCATAAACCGGTGGAAGTCGTTTGAATGAAACATCAATGTCACCAAAGCGATTCATCGCGTAGATATTTTATGTGCTTTTAAATGCTGATGAAAATGCGTTTTTTATAAATTTGAAGTGATTGGTAGAAATATATTTTGGTTGCATTTCTAGGTGACATAATAATAAAATATATATCGGGTGTGGGCGTTGGCATGAGTGGGTTTTACCGGTACACCGGTCGATCTTGAGGCTGTGGGAGTGGGTGAGTGGGGGTGTTTGTGTGGGTGTTCAGCGTCTCTTTCTGCGCCCACACCCACATTTCGAACATTCAATGAAGAAAAGTCTTGAATCGACTCTTTCTCTAGTTTTTTTTTCGAAATCTCGTTACTAGTGGCATACTATGTAGCTCTGTTTACGAAGCTTACAAACTCTGTTTAGTTTTAGAAATTCTCCTGATAAGGTACTCATTAAAGTCAAATAATGAAAATCAATCATACCAAGTTAATTTCGCTGATGGTTTGTTTCGGCTTGGTCGAGTGTTGCCTATGTGACACAGGTGTGTTGTGTATTAAATGACTCTTTTCCTATCTGTACATGATGGCAAGATATCGGCGTCTTTTTTCCTTTTGCTTTTTTTCGTTGTGGGAGTGGATGAGTGTTTGTGGGTGTGGGTGTGGATGTGGGTGTGAGTATGGATGCTGGATGGATGAGGGTATGGGTGTTGATATAGTCTTTCAACATCCACACCCACATCCCACATCGACATCTCATATCTACGCGGACATCCAGATCGACACACACACCGATACCTATACCAATCCACACCCGCATTCGTGATCCAGCACCCACAGCCTTATCCACAAGCACACCTTACACCCACACGCGCCCACATCCACACCCGCATCCACTTGCAGATTCTTATTGATGAGATGTAATGTCGACATCATGATAGTTTTATACACGCACACACCTTATACCATACACTTTACAGTCTAGGGAATATCAACTACTCATTAAGTCCCCATATGCATCATGCGCAATCATTTCGAGAAAAATTTGGTCTATTGTGTGCATTATTTCATACTATTCGTTTTTATGTTTGCGGGTATAAACCCATCATTATGATGAGAAAAAGTAATTTTTTCTTTTTCATGAATATTTTTTCTTCGATAAACATTCGCAATGAAAATAAAACGGTGCAATAAGTCGTTTTTCGTTCTGCGCAGCACACTGCTGGCTTTGAAGGTTTGTTTACACGCATCATTGAAAGTAGTGAACTGCGTATGTTGTTCGTCTACGGTTCTCTTTTATGAATAGAAAAATACTTGTGTGAAATGAAAAAATAACCAGTAGCAGAGAGCAATATTGTATAGAAGGTGCAAAACACAGCATTAACTTGTTACATTTTGTCTGTTCCATTTTTGTAGCAGTCAACTGACCTGAGCAAAGTAAGACTTCCATTCTATGAATCTTATGCTTTTTTCGACCGTATTTGGTTTTAGAGTACAGCGTGTCTTTCTCTTTGTCCCATTTGGAATTCTATCCAAGTTGTTCGAAGACTGGCTTTACGACGATCCGATACGCTATACCACCTTTCATGCCGTTTACGGACTTAAATTGTCGTACGTTGACATTTTAACATGCATCGTATTATGACTGCATTTTGACGTACCGTAAACGTCTAATCACGGTCGTCATACGGTCGAAAAATTTATTATCCGACCGTTTCTCAACGTGTCATAGTACGGTGCATGGTAAACGGCGAAAAAATCAACAGAAACGATCGTTTTACGACCCGACTTATTTCATATGAGTCGCTCGATCGATTTTGACAATAGCATGAGAGAAAAGTTGCCTAACATCTATTCATTTGTACGTGTAGGGTGTGGGTGTGGGTGTGAATGTGGGTGTGGGGTGGGTGTGGGTGTGGGGTGTGGGTGTGGGGTGTGGGTGTGGGTATGGATGTGGGTGTTGATATTCATGACAACCAAGCCCACACCCACACCCACACACCCTCACACCCACACCCACACACACCCACACCCGCACCCACACCCACACCCACACCCACACCCACACCCACACCCACACCTACACCCACACCCACACCCACACCCACACCCACACCCACAC